CCCGGGGCCCCGCCCCTGAGGGGGTGGTCCTAGATCCTTCCAGGGGTGTTCCGGGGTCCAAAGCAGCTGACCTGCAGCCACACCTGCGCCCTGGCCTTGGTCTGGGCAGCGTTTTACTGGGCAGCAGGCACTTGCTCCTTGGACTTGCTCACAGTCCAGCAGGCACTGGCAGGTGCTAGGGTTGCCAGCCCTCCAGGACTGCCCTGGAGCCTCCAGAAATTAGATATAAATCTCCAGGAGACTGCTGCAAGTCACGTGGGAGGTCAATGACAGGGCAGTCATTAAAATAAATATTTATTAAATGTTGAATCTGATTTATACAGTTGTCCAGTGGGTTTTTAAAATGTAATAGGAACGTTGCATTTGCCTTCCTGACATGAAGCCATTCATGTCATTACATTGTGTTATGCAACCTGGAATAGATTCAGAGTTGGTAGCCTTCGCTGGCACGACCCCCTCAGCCCGCTCGTCTGGCACGGCAGCTTTCGCTTCTGTCCCCATTCTGCATTGTAGTCGTCCCACGGGTTCAGCTGGCGCATGCCCAGTAACCCGCTCTGTTAGCAGTGGGGGATAACCCTTGTCCCATCGGCATAAGGCCCACGTTCCTCAGATAGGCCTGAACCTCCCTGGCCTCTGCCCCTCGGCTCTGGCTCTTGGCCCAATGGCCTCAGCCTATGCTGCTTCAGGCTCTTGTCCCTCACAAAAGTAAAGATCGCAGCATGCTGGGCACTGCTTTGTGGCCTTCAAACACACCCTCACAATCACTCCTGGTCCTCTGGTCATTATTATCAGACTCCTAACAGAAACACAAAAGCCCACTGGGTAACAGTCCTTAACAAAGATGTTACCTGGCACAGGCACACTCCTGGTATAGCGGCTCCCCTGCCTCTTCTAGTGGCTTCTCTCCTTGTGATTCTGGGTTCCCCATATCGAGCAGCAGAGTTCCTTGATCCTCAACAGTCAGGGCCAGAGTGCCCCACTCTGCCTGGGAGGCAAGCCTGTATGCTGGCCAGCTTATCCCTGCTGCTCAGCTTTGGCACAGAGGTTTCCCTTTATCTCCTAGGGCAGGGATGGGCAATTATTTCAGGCCGAGGGCCGCTTACTGAGTTTTGGCAAGCCATTGAGGGCCGCATGACAGGCAGCTAGGGGCAGATAAATATTGATTTTCTAAATTTTTTAGGGTCCCCACAGGCCGGATAGAATGGCCTGGCGAGCTGCATCCGGCCCACGGGCTGCATTTTGCCCACCCCTGTCCTAGGGCCTCTGTGAGAGGTGAGTCTGCAGTCCTGGGCCAGCTGCTTGTCATTCAGCAGTGTCCCTACCTGTTTGCAGCCTTCAGCTTACTCCTGGCCTGCAGAGCAATTTCTGTGAAGCCTATTGCTAGGCAGCTGGATCCCCAAGGGACTGGCAGTTCTGTTTTAGTGGCTGCCTTCCTAGGACTGCTTATTGTTGCAGGTACCAGTCTTTCTCACACTTGCAGCCTCTAGACTGGACCCTTTTCCCCTGCTAGTGTCAGGGAGCTAAGCTCCTTGTTCCTCCTTGGAGTCAGGTTCCCATTTCTGAGTCCTTGCCTCTCCAGGCTACAAAAGTCCTGTTCTTAAACGGCTTGCAGGTTTTCCTTGTCCTTCAGCCCTTTCCCAGTA